GGTCCCTCCTGGCCACCAGCAGGAGATGAAGCCTTGTAGGGTTACCATATTCAGGTAGGGAAACTACTGGAGATTTGGGAGGTGGAGCCTGGGGAGGACAGGGACCTCAGTGGGGTACCATGCCATAGACTCCACCCTCCAAAGCGTCCATTTTCTCCAGGGGAACTGATCTCTCTAGCCTGGAGATGAGCTATAATTCCAGGGGATCTCCAGGTCCCACCTGGAGGCTGGCATCCCTAAAAGCATTTTCCAAAGGGTATGGCACTGATCCTCTGCAAACCACATGTTCAAGTGTGGGAAAGGGTAGTCCTTCTTCTTTTAAAGAAAAGATTGTTGAAGTTTCGATGAATCAGGCCGGAATTCCCCTGAGAGCAGGTCTGGCTAGTATGGCTCTACCCTATCCCTGAAATGTTATTGCTGTCAATACGTTTTTATAAAGCTTTACTCGGCCCTCCATAAAATCTTGGCTGCCACAAATCCTTTGCAATGAGAGAGCAAACGGATGCGCTTCCTGGATTGCCACCTTGGCTGGAACGGACCAGGGCAAAGAGGTATGGCCTGAGACCGAAACTATGTTCTTTCATTGGATTCCTTCTACTTCCTTATCTAGACAAGGCAATGCATCCTAAGGACGGAGCGTGTGTCACCAAGAGACTGAACTGCTGGGAATGTGTATGCAGCGATAGCTGACCGGCAATAGTCAACAAACCGCCTTTGCTGGGATCATTGGTTAAACACGATGGCTGATAGAGGAGCCACCACACTTTAAATAAACTTCAGATTAACGCAGCAAACTGATATTTATGGAGAACCGCTGGTGCAGACCAGAGCAACGTTCCAACCTGTCTAGTTCTCTCTCCCTGACAGTGGCTGTTCAAGTACTTGGGAAAGAGAGCAGAGCCAGGTGTTGGGGGCCTCTCAGCGGACTAGAAAAACAGCTCCTTTAAGCACAGTTCCGGCTGGCTTCCGAGTTGGCCACACCCAGCAGGAACTCATTAGCATAATAGGCCACACCCAACAGCAGAAACTCATTAGGATTGGCTACATTAGGGGTGTGTGGCCTAACATGCAAAGAAGTTTCTGCTACAAAAAAAGCTCTGGGTTTTGACAACAAACAAGGTAAACAGAATAAGAAGCAAAAGGTTGGTGTGGCTGGATGACCACACTTCTGGTAGCATGGGGGTGCGACCTAATATGCTAATGAGTGGTGCTGTCAGGGGTGTGGCCTAATGTGCTAATGAGTTTCTGCTATTGGGTGTGGCCTATTATGCCAATGAGTTCCTGCTGGGCTTTTTCTACAAAAAAAGCCCTGTTTAAGCATATGTGAAAACGACAACCAATTGGCCAGCCGGAAAAGGTCTGATTAGAGGCTGGGCTTTCCAGTTTCTCTGCCGCCCTGTTTGGCTCCTGGAATGTTCAGTCTGGAGAAGAGGAGGTTGAGGGGGGACAGGTTTGCTCTCTTGAAGTATTTGGAGGGCTCTCACTTAGGAGGGCAGAGAGCTGTTCCTGTTGGCAGCAGAGCCTAGGGAGGTGGTGAGCTCCCCATCACTGGCAGTCTTTAAGCAGCGGCTGGACAAACACTTTTCAGGGATGCTCTAGGCTGATCCTGCATCGAGCAGAGGGTTGATTCTGTGATCCTATTCAAGACTTTAGACAGGTTTTCAAGGCACATCAACCCCAGTCCTTTGGCAATCTTAGCTGTTCACCTTGGCTTTTATCGTCCACAGCAAGCCCAGTCCTCGTCCTGTTTCTAGATGGCTTCCCCACTCTCCTGAGCTTTGCAAGTGACCAGCAACAGATATGATCTGTAGCATGATGGCTACATGGAACCTTCGTATTCACCTCTGAATACCAAGTGCTGGGGACCAAAATGTCCATTGCCTTCACGGGCTACTTGCGAGTTTCGCAAAGGTGTCCAAGTCAGTCCATGTTGGAAACAGGATGGTGGGATGGATGGAAATTTAGTCTGATCCAAGGAGGATGTTCATTGTTAACTGTTTAACAAGGGGAGCGGTGGCACAGTGGGTATATCCCACTGTCTTAACATCTGAACTGTGTTAGTTTGAGCCCCGCGCTGGTGTGAGCAGCCAGCCTGTTGTCCCCAGCTCATCATCCACCCAGCGATTCGAAAGCTTCAGCGAGTAGATAAAATGGGAACCACTCCTTAGAGAGGGTGGGCACGCCAATCTCCCTTGTGGGAGGGTGTTAGCTGATGGTCGGACGTCCTGGTCGAGGTTCAGAAAGGTGAAATAACTTCTTGGCTACGAAAGAATCCCTGCAGTGGATGTTCCGGCCAGGTGGTGGCAGTGTGGTGATTGAGATACGGGTTCTGAAGCCTGGTCAACAAGCAGCTGTGCGGAAAACAACGGAGCCAAGCCAGAAGACGTCTACACCGGGCAGTGACGGTGTGTGCAATTAAATGAATATATGTTGTCTTCCCTTTCCCCTACAAACATTGTTAGTCCCTTGTCTATATTGAGTAACTGTACATCGCTTTGAGCCCACTGGGGAAAGCAATTAATAAATGGAAAGTATTATTATAAGTATTATAACTGAACCATGAACAATTTGCTGGACCCCAAGATAACAGCTGCTCGCTGCCTCATGGAAGCATACACGGGAGCTGAGTCACCATGGTTTTTTCCCAGTAAATAGTCTTCCTTTCAGAAGGGTGCAAAGGAAATATTCTACTGAATGGATTCTACTGGCATTTCCAAGCCTCCGGAATGGTTCTTGGGCACTTACAAAGGGAGAGAAATGGCCCTTGGGAAACTGGAAGGCTCGAGGGCTACAGATAGAAAGTTCTGCTCTCTCAGGCAAAGGCAAAAGGTCAAGTTCCTGTTATTTATACCACACTTGTCTACCACAGGGGCCAACGAGGAAATATGAAGATGCTTTATACTGAGTCAGAACAGTATCTGTAGCGTCTATCTGGAAGAAGCTCTCTCCAGGATCTCTGGAAAAGAAGTGCTTTTCACCACATCTTCCAAGTGAAGATGTGATGGACCAAAACAAAGACCTCCTTCAACCTCTGAAGTATGAGCCCAGGGCTAAAAGAAGTTACCTGCTTACACTGTGACAGTCAGAGCCTTGGGAGAGCCAGTTTAGTGCAGTGTTTAGGAGCAGGTTTGATTCCCCATTCCTCCACATGCAGCTGCTGGCGTGACCTTGGGTCAGTTATAAGTTATTTCAGAGCTGTTCTCAAAAGAGCCGTTCTCGAAAGAGCTCTCTCGGCCCTACCTGCCTCACTGGGTGTCTATTGTGGGGAGGGGAAGGGAAAGGAGATGGTAAGCTGCTCTGAGACTCCTTCAGGCAGTGAAGGACAGGGTATAAATCCAATCTCTTCTTCTTGGTCCATCTAGCTGACTACTGTCTCCTCCATTCTCCATTGTCTCAGGCAACACGAGCTCATTCCGAACACTTCCCGCCTTGAACCTTTTGCCTGGAGATGCTATCAACCTCAAAGTGGAACCTGGAGTTTTCCCAGAATGACAACCAATCTCCAGACTACAGAGATCAGTTCCTTGGGAGGAAACGGCAGCTTTGGAAAGCAGAAATGGAAATTCCTTGATAAATGGAATACCTAAAGCATCTACAGAGAGTGGATATTCTAGGATTCCTGCTTTTCCTATGGTATATCATATCATACCAGAAAATGGTTGTTTATTGTTGCCTATAAAGACACTCTCCTGCCAACCTAGCAGTTCGAAAGCAAGAAATTGCAAGTAGATAAATAGGGACCACTTCGGTGGGAAGGTAACAGCGTTCCGTGCGCCTTGGTGTTTAGTCATGCCGGCCACATGACAGAAATGTCTTCGGACAGCGCTGACTCTTCGGCTTTGAAACGGAGATGAGCACCGCAACCCTAGAGTCGGATTCGACTGGCTTTCGAGCAAGGGAGACCTTTACCTTTATAAAGACACTAAAGGCCAGAAGGTGGTTGGGGAATGAGAGACAGATGGGACTGCTGTTGGCCGGTGTCCTTCTGTGGATCTTCAGAATGATTCCCCCCAAAACACTGAGAAATATCTGAAGAGGTTTCTTAGACTGAGTGGAACATAACCGGATAGCAGCTGGATAGGACCAATGCGTATTCAGTAGCCTACAACTGATGTAAGGTTGGAGGAAGTAATACAAGCCAGGAAATTTAAATTTAATATTTGAATTTTGGTGGCAGTCACCACAGAGGAAGAGGAGGAGGTGAAGAAGCTGACCTTTGACTTCGATATGCCTGCTGAGCTCTCTCCCCTCCCCAGACTCTGCCCCCCTCAGGCACCACCCCCAAATCTCCAGGAGTTTCCCAAGCTGGGCAGCCTTAGCATATGCCAGGGATTCAGCTGGGTACTTTCTGTAGGCAAGCCACCTGCTGTACTGCTGAGCCCATGACCGGTTCTCATGTTGCAGACCCATCCTCCCTTTTTATACCTAAAAGGGGCTCTGCTCTCCAAGCATGCACAACCCCAAATAACTCACTAGACTATCCCAGCCTCAAGTGATTGAGGCTCTGGGTTCAAATGGTGGCAGTCATTTAACAGAACGGATGCTGAGAATGCCGGCCTCACCCATAAATATTCAAGGCCTTCTGAGGCTTAAAAGTCAAGAAACACCCTGTGCCATTCAGAGCACTCTGGAAGGTATTCCCCTTCTGCTTCCAGCCCTGCCCCTGCTTGCCAGCCTCCTCTTGAAACCAAAAGCGGTCACGGCAAACAAGCGGTAGGAATTCAGGGCTCGCTTCCAGCTCGCCCTCCCTGGTCGGCCTCCATCTCTCAGGGATGCCATCTCCACAAACAAACAAAAGGAGATGGTGTGAGGGAACGGCTGGGTGAGAGTCCGTTGGCAAAGCCCCACCCCGCGCCTGAGCTAACACAGCCCGCCCCGGCTATAGCGATGGTTATAAATCAGCCCAAGCCCAGGTGCTTGAGAAGCTCTACTGGAAGCTACACGCCGAGAGCAACCGATTCCCCCGCTTGGCAAGCACTGACCGACAAAGCGGCGGCAAAATGTCGATGGGCCTGGAAATTGGCGGGGTGTCCCTGTCCGTCCTGGGCTGGATCGGCTGCATCTTGTGCTGCGGGCTGCCCATGTGGCGGGTGACGGCCTTCATTGGCGCCTCCATTGTCACTGCACAGATCACCTGGGAGGGTCTCTGGATGGACTGCGTGGTGCAGAGTACTGGCCAGATGCAATGCAAGGTTTATGACTCCATGCTGTCGTTACCCCCGGACCTGCAGGCCGCCCGTGCCCTGGTGGTCATTGCCGTCCTCCTAGGTGCATTGGGCATCCTCGTCTTCTTGATGGGGGCCCAGTGCACCCGCTGTATCGAGGAAGAGTCCACCAAGGCCAAGGTGACCATCGTCTCTGGAGTCGTCTTCCTCTTGTCCGGCATGCTGGTCCTCATCCCCGTCTGCTGGTCGGCCAACACCATAATCCGTGACTTCTACAACACGCTGGTGCCCCAAGCCCAGAAGCGAGAGCTGGGAGCTTCTCTCTACATTGGCTGGGCAGCGGCTGCCCTCTTTCTTTTCGGGGGCGCCTTGCTCTGCTGCACCTGCCCCCCTAAAGATGACAGGTACAGACCCACAAATGTGGCCTACTCAGCCCCCAGGTCAGCAGTGACCAACTACGACAAGAAGAACTATGTATGAAGCGGCAGCCCACCCTGGGTGTAAAACTCAACCGCTCATTGCTGCACCCGCCAGGAGGCTCCTGAACTTCACCGTCACTCACTCAAGAAAAGAGACAGTCAGATATATCCTTGGGAATACATGCACAGAGATATGTTCTGCTTTAACTTTGGGGACTGAATGAGGGGCTCTGGGCTGGCGTTCCCCCGCCACAAAGAATCCCTGAAAAGGGGAAGGAAAACCCGTCAGCTCGTCCTTTCTCGTCTTCTCGTGGATAGCCTTTGACTGAAAACACCTCTCGCCCCATCTTGGACTTTCACTGAGTGCCTCTGCAAGATTAGACCCTGCTTCCCGTCCCTCAAGCTTCGTCTTCAGCCAGCAAAGGTTGGCAAGGGGGCCAGGGCACTGTTTGTAAGCCAGGGAAGCCCCCGTGGGTGTGCCCTTCACATTGCCTCTCTGCTGTTCAAGGCTCACACTGGGCCCTTTTATTCTTCCTATCTCGGACCCTTTGTTTCTGCGGGGATTACTTAGAAAAGTGATTAATTTAAAGGGTGGGGAGGGAGGGTGCGATGATGTGACAAAGACTGTGTGGGGAGAGACATCCTCCAGGCTTAAGATCTGCCTGCTGTTGCGAATTCTGGGGAAATGATGGGCGGTGGGAGATGATATCAAACCAGGGCTCTTTTTAAAGCTGCAATGGCTGCTTTAGGGCACGGGATTTGGTTTGATTTGGGCAAAGAGGCCAGCATTCTTGTGTGTGACAGGCTTCCAGGGAGAAATAAAGATGGCCTCCACTTCCTCCTCTACACTGAGAAGGAGATCCTGCCTTGAGGTAATAACTTTGTCCCAAACCGGACCTCTGGGAAATAAATGGTTTCCACCCAAGGTACAGGGAATCAGCCATGGGGAAAAGCGGGCGGTGCATTTGAGCAAGTGGTCTGCCACTGAGAAGCTTGTGAGAGTTGGTGAGGGAGAAGCAAAGATGGCCGACATCCCTCATGTTCTCAAGCCTGGCCCTTCAGCACGAGTGGTAACTACCCCGGTCAGGAGTGAACAAGCCGACTAGCAGATACCGACACCTCCTGGGAGAGCAGGGTGGTGGCAACCACTGGAACAGGGCAGAGGAATATTTAAGAAGCTGCCGGTAAAATGAATCTTGACTGGTAGCAGCCCTTCAGACTTTTCTGTCATGAACATTTTAACCAGGGATACCAAGGCGGGTTCACATCCAGCGAAGATAGGCGGAAACGGGTTCATGGTTCTACGGGGCTCGAGGCCGACTGAGACTCCCCCACCTGCTTTGTGTTTTGTACTAGTTTATGGTGTTCTCTTCTTTCTCCCGCAAATAAAACTCTGTTTTAGTAACTCGATCAAACGTTGCATTCTTGACGATTTGGGTCCGACGTGAGTGGCAGCCCACTTTCAGCTTCCTGGGAACAGCCAGGCTGTTTGGTCTCATAGTTCTGTCCGTGTTTACTGGTGAGCGTTCTGCATTCTTGCTCTGTGTTTACTTTGCAGTTCGGTGTGTGCGCCTAGCCCCTTTTTGTTGCTTACGCAACGATGCTGCGCTCCTTTTGTGCTGGTGGGAGGCTCCAGGAGGCAAGAGGCCCGAGGGGTCTCTAGCGGATAGAGCTTTGGACTCGGCAAAGGGTCCTAATCTTAGCTCAGAAAGCATGCGCACAAATGAACATAAAGGAAAAAACTTGTATATACTAACATATATGCTCACAGCGGCTAGAATCCTGATAGCTAAATACTGGAAACAAGAAGATTCCCAAGAGAAAGGAATTAACTGAGAAACTTACGGATGTCGCAGAAATGGACAAATTAACAGTAATTTTGCAAGGGAAAGATGATAAGGTGTTTAAAGAAAGATGGGCAGAATGTTATAAATGGATAGAGAACAAAAATATGTAATAGACTCGTTCAGACTATATCTACATAATTACAATTGTAAAAGTTGTATACTTTGGATAAAATTTAAATAAAATGATTAAAAAGAAAGAAAGAAAGAAAGCATGAGCACATCTCAGCAGCAATCCGAGGGCAGCCATAGGCAAGTTATGAATATTCTGGAAAAGAGGGGGAAGGTATCCAAACGGAGAAGGATTTTTAAACAGACTTTCTGCTTAGTGCTAGCCTGAGCTCGCCCTGATCCTGAACCACAACCCAGAATCCTGCCCTGAGGTAAGGACAGGTAGCTGCCTCAGGCAGTATATTTTGGGTGCCTCAAGGGAGATGTGTGGGAGTCAAAAACAAATAACCCGTGGGGGCAACATATACCAGGAAGTTCTCCTGCCCAAGCACCACTGAAATGAATGGGTTTCTGTGGAAGAGATCATGCCGAGTGAAGGAGAGAGACATTCAGCCCCGTAGCTAGGGAATTTTTTTGGAGGGGGCCTCAGGGGGCCTGCCAGCTAATTAAATGAAAGTACCATGCAGGTGGTAAGTTGGAGCACTTTAAGGGTAGCCCAAGAGGGAGGGGGCACTACAGAAGCAGGTTGCTGCCCAGACAAAACGTAATGGAACTTATGGAACTCACTGCCACAAGATGTGGCAATAGGGTGGCTTTAAAAAAAAAACACAGATACATTCCAGTAAGCATTTAATTAGTACACCTATAAATATTCAGAGGCAGATCGTTTCTGAGTAGGAGAAGCTGGGGGCCGTGGAGTAGACGATCACGCTCTGCGTGGGAACCACTCCGATAATCTGCCTGGCCACTGTTGGAAATGGAACCAAATGTTGGTCTGGAGGGACCCTCACCCAGCAACCCATATATGGACACAAAGCAGTAGACAAACTTGAGGCAGATGTTAAGTCACAATAAGTGGGATTTCCAGGTGCAGAGGGGGTGGACATCTGAGCAGGAGGGCTGTCGCGGTCATGCCTCCTCCGTGAGCCTTTTGTATGGCCACAGAAAGGACCCTTGGCTCGGTGCAGTAGGACCATTCCAGTGTTTTTACTGGGCTCCAGGTGCTCCTCGTAGACTCCCCCTTAGAGCGTCCCTCTTGGGAACAAGAGCCTCAGTCTTATCCTGCAAGGTGCTTCTGGTCATCTTGGGAATCCCAGGTTAATGGTAACCAATTTAATTAAAATAAATAAGACAATCTTCCAGGGCAGAACTTGGGCTGCACTCTGAACCTAATTCGAGCAAATTCATTGCGATTCTCTCATCTTCTGTCAGGGCCAGAGTATACTTGATGGGGCGGGGCGGGGTGAGGGTGGGCACATCGGTTCGTGGATCTTCCGCATACCTTTACAAAGCATGGGGTTTATTTTACCATTGGAAAAGGGGTCAGTTATTGGAGATACTACAAGCATTGCCCTTTTCCTTCCCCCCCAAATTGTCTCTGCCCATCCCCTGGCCGCCATTTCTATTCTCTGACATTCATTAATTATAAACTGTGTTTGTACATTGGTTATTTTATAAAAAATATATGCAAACGGAGCTGAAACCTTCCTTCTCTCTGCCCCCTGACTTTTCCTCTCCTTGGGTTTGCCACTTGGGGCATTTTTTTTCTCATTAGGACTCAGGTTTTGGAGATGGTCCTGCATGCACTGGAGAGAGCTGAGTGCCGCTCACGTCCATAGGATGAAACCAGAGGCACTCTCTCTGCTCGTCGCATAGAGGGAGGAGAGCCAAAGCAACACAGCTGCCTCCACTGCAAGTGTTCCCTCCAAGCTGAGTTAGTGTGAGCTAGCTCACAGTTTTTCAGCTCAGGAAGGATGGCTCCAGAAGCAAATCGCTTGCTCACAACTTTAAGGACAGCAGCTCACAAAGTAGAATTTTTGCTCACAAGACTCCACTGCTTAGAGGAGCGCTTCACTCCACTGCATAGTTCCCTCTAAGCTGAGTTGGTGTGAGCTAGCTCACAGATTTTTAGCCTCTGGCTCACACATTTTTGTCTTAGCTCAGGAAGGGATGGCTCCAAAGCAAACTGATTTATGCAGCAGCCAAATTGCTCACTCATAACTTTAATGCCAGTAGCTCACAAAGTAGAATTTTTGCTCACAAGCCTCCACAGCTTAGAGGGAACATTGCTCCACTGTATCCAACGTACACCTCATTTGGTGTGTCTTTGCAACTGTGGAAAAGATCGTTTAAATTTCCCACCTTAAGCACCAAAATGCCATGGGCTGGCCTGACTCCCACCCCACAACCGCCACTTCTGTAAGGGTTAAGATGCACTCTGGCCTTGAGATCTGAGTATCCCACTTCAAACAGCTGGAATCCCTCTGCCTGCGTGGCTTGGACGGTTCGGTTCCCGGGCTCCTTGGTGGATCGAGACAATGGAGGTTAGCATGGGCCCTGATCAAAGGAAGCTGCATGGAGTCACTGGCTGCAGCGACGTGGATACAGCTACTGGAAACCCCGGGATCAAAGCTCATGGCTTGTCGTTGGGGGTGAGATGATATAAGGCCAACCTTTATCCCTTGGGTAGGAAGTCGGGGGACATCATGATAGAATCAATTATGAAAAATAAATGGGAGGCAGAGAGCCCACATGGCTATAAATACAGATGTCAAAACTAGTGTTCCCTCTAAGCTGAGTTAGTGTGAGCTAGCTCTCAGTTTTTTAGCCTCCAGCTCATATTTTTGTCTCAGCTCAGGAAGGATGACTCCAGAGCAAACTAATTTACACAGCAGCCAAATCGCTCGCTCACAACTTTAATGCCAGCAACTCACAAAGTAGGATTTTTCCTCACAAGACCCCGCAGTTTGGATGGAGCATTGGTCACAACCCCATTGCAGGGAGCCTGCACCTCCAATCCAGAGGCCCCACGTGGAACAGAGGTCCTTCCAAGGCAGAACCAGGACCTTAAAGACAGACTTGGCCATGCTGTCTCCAAACCGGGGTGCTTTTTTTTCAAAACTGAGAGGTAGTGGGGCTGGAGGCAGCCTTCAAGTTTAGCTTGAAATCTTACTTTCCCCTGCTGTCCAATGTTTGCTGTGGCTTGTGATTACGCAGTGTTGGTGGGGAACGTGCTTTGTGCATGCCCAGAAACCCTCTTCTCTGCACTATTACTTCCCGTGTCTGAGCTCCCTGGCACTGAAAAGAGGTTCTCGGACTGAGACGTGGCTCAGCTGAACCCGGATGATGCCTGTGGATTGAAGCGAAGTTCTGGTTTTCCCTTTGCCTTGCTAAGAGCGGCTCAGGCTGCTTGGTTCTGCCCAGAGAAGGAAGAGACAGATCTCCTCTTCCCTGAACGCTTGGGGTTTGGAGCAGATTGAGCTTCTGTTTGTTTTCGCCTGTTCTGAGCGGTGCCCAGCGTGACAGGCGGTCCACACCCTCCCGCTTGGCTCAGTTCACCTGCCGTCAAACAAGAGCTATGTAAACTCTGTGCAGGGGGACCCAAAGCGGGGGAGAGGGGGAGAGGGGGAGAGGTAAATGGAGCAGGAGGACATGGCCTCGCAAGAGGCACTGAACAGCATCATTGTGGTGTCCCAGTATAGTGAAGCTCCCACATGTTT